TGAAAAGACAGTTGGAGGAGTGTTGAAACAAAATGTAGTTACTCCAGTAAGAAACACATCAATTTATTAGAACACATGATTCGTATTCCTTTGCTAGCACAGCTTGTAAAGGGTTCAGAGATCACCCCAGACACTTCAAAAAACATCAGCATTCTAGAGAGCAAAAGACTTTTCTGCCTTCAAATACAGTATTTTCAGGTACAAATGCTTTCACACACTGCACTACTGGCATTTGTGTCCACATTAACAGCAAAATCATCTCACATCTTATTAAATCACAAGGGAAAAGAAGCCTTGTTTGGTGACTGCAGAAAAAATTCATTTTGTATTAAGGGATACTCCTCTAATTAATTAATGCTTCATTTGGTGGCTGAATTGTTTCAAGTGTAACAACTATAAAAACATGTACCTAGGTTTGATTTTTTTTTTCTTCTAATTCAGTACTATACAATCAAAAGCAAAGCAAGATTAGGCTACAGAAGAAATCTGCCTAACAAAATGAAAATATTAGTTTAAATGTTAATAATAGATGCAGTCATTTTGCCCAGTAAACTTTAAAGACTGCATGCTGAAACTCAGAATTTCTGAGACAATCTGGGGAAACCCTAAGTTATAATCCATCCTTCAAGCTGGAGGATACAGCAGTTAAAATACAATAAAGGACAATTAAACTAACCTTGCCTTTAACACAAAAAGCATGGGTAATACTTAATGTATGTCTGTATATTTTTAATCTTCAAAGACCTCTGCTTTCAGAAATAGCTGAGGGAGGCACAGATGTGATCCAGCAAAAAACTCTTTTAGATGGAGAAAGAAACTCAGAAAAGAGAGAGCCTTTAAGACCACTGAGAACACAGACACCACAGTGGCTCTGAGCTGCAAACAGTCAGAGGTAGAGAGAGTACCTAAAACTCATTTTTGCCATCTTATTCCCTTTCTGCCACTGTCAGATACAGGCTGTTGGACTTTTGGTGCAATCCAGTTACAGCTGCTCTGATGTTCTTAATCTCAAGGATCTATGTAAAAACACATGTAATTCCTCCTGCACAAGGTAAATATGGTTATATAATCACTTTAATCAGGAATAAGTCGGCCAGAGATGGATTTCTCAAGGCAGGGTAAGCACTACTACAAATACAGCTTTACTTGGACAGGGAGGGAACCTCAAAAGACACAAATCCCCATGTGCCTAGATGTGCAGGTGAGGAATAGTGAGGAACCCCATGCAGCCTTGATTTCTGGAAAGACAAGGAAAAACTGGTGGCACAATTAAAAAATCAATTTCAACACACTAGATACTTGGATACTTCTCTTAAAATACTTGCTGGCATATAATGGAGCCATATTTATTCTGAACTATGTCTAATCAACACCAAGATTACCTTTTATTAGCTGAGCCTAAGCAGAAGCAGCAATTTTTTATGGTTTTTTTCCCCAAAATCAGCCCCTACTCTGTAGTAAGCTGCCAACACCAATTGAGGGTGCCTGGTAATGCATGGAGTATTGCAGAGACATCAAGGCACATATCTGTTCATGTTTTAGTACTGAACACCTGCTAGGATTACTGATGATGCATTCTCTGATGTTCAGGGGGAACAAAATCCTTTGCAGACAAGGAAGCAGAACACTTCTACACTCTGTTTGACTACCAGTAGTACAAACTTCACTACAGTTCTACACTCTGTTTGACTACCAGTAGTACAAACTTCACTACAGATAACTGGTCATAACTAACTCAAATTTGCAGAAATTTGCAAATTTCTCAAATTTGAGAAATTTGCAGTCCTAAACAAGACTTTACAAGACAAGAATTTTTTCACAATTTCTTTAGTCCCTCACAATTTCTTTAGTCCCTGTCATCTTAAAAGCAGGGTCAGACACCAATGCTGAAATGTCTGAATATTTTAGCTATCAGTCAGTCTCTGCCTGGGTGGCTCAGCTGGAAGAGCAGAGGCTCACCCAAGCCTTCATTCCAACCAGCAGGCAGCTGAGCACATGACAAATGTTGATAGAGACCATTCAGCATATGGAGGTTCACAGCAGGGAAATGTAGAGAATATAGCTGTCACCATAAAATGCTATAACTAAAAAATAAATAAATGGAAGAGATAAATGACAAAAAGCAGAGGAGTATCATGTTTGACTACAAAAACAAAAATCACTGAAGAAATTCTATGAACAGCCTTAATGGAGTAACACTTGAAAATGTACCTGCAGAAAGCATGAGCAGAAGGTTATGTCACACTTCATACACAGAGAGCTGCTGACAGAACAACTTCTGAAGCACTAACTGTACAAAAGGTTACAGAGCAAATGAAAAACACTGACAACCATCTGATACCAACTTAACATGGTCATCAAACAGATTTACAGAATTCAAGCAAGACACAAGCAGCACCCCATAACAGAGGCAAAGATTTTATGCAAAGAACAACCCTGGAATTATGTATATTTTAAATACAAAAAATTAAACCGATTTTATTTCCGTGGAAGAAGCAACCAGCCTGAAGAGAAGTAATAAACGAATCCTGCTGTGAGAACAAAAATAGAGAAGCTTAGAAGAAGTGAAAATTGAATTCAGCAACAGACTTTTATGAATTGGCATCACAAAGCCAGAAAAATCTAACGACTAAAAAAAATTCTGAGAGCAAACAGCAGGAGCAGATAAACCAGAAACGAAAGCACATGATTTCTATGTAATCTCAGAATATTTCAATTGAATTTTCCTGGGTTTTCATTGCTGAAAGCAAACTGAGGAGCACTAGAACAAAAAAATTATTTATATAACAGGGAATTACAAGTTCATACTACAGAGAAATAACTAAATATTGAGAAATAATATGTTCTGCCAAATACAAATATATGGCACTTGTTTGAAAACTGCTGTATTGACAAAATTGCTAAAATTGAACAGAAAAACCTGAATCAAAACTATGAAAAACAAATATGCCAAGCATTCCTAATTGTTACATTAAAATCCTAATATATTACAAAAAAACACAAGTATAAAGACACTAATAAGTTTGGTTTAAAGAACCTTGGTTTCACATGAGCTGATTGTGCAAAAGTACAAGTTAAAAGATATTAAATCACATTTTAATTGCATTCTCTTTCCTGCTGTAGGGTTTCTTTGATTTTTTAGAATATTTTTACCAACAGTAAATTTTTCAAAGGTGCCCAAGAGATGCATACTCCTGAAATTAGGGCTCAAGTAATTTATGCCTTTTTGTACCCCAGGCCTTCATATATCTCAAATACAAAAGGCTTATTCCTTTACTATTTGCATATAATCTCACCCCTGCTTAGATGGTGCTGTATACTTTTTCTCCTACCTGCAGGCTGGGCACATGTTAAGCGTGTGTGTGTCCTATGCATATGTGATTTGTGGATACATATATATGTGTATATACAGACACACATCCACCTACACATGCATATACAAATTCTCCACTTCGAAAAACAATTTCTTTCTATCTGATTTCCAAAGGGTTCTTAATACAAACATGAAGACAATTTATTTTTTTGTATTTAATCTGCAGAAGACTTGTTTCAGCATCTCTTTTGATATAGATAAAATGTATCAAAGTCAATACCACATCCACACAGATTCATCAAATATCAAAGCAATTGCCCGTTCCTTTCCATTTGACTTCTGCAAATATCAATAACTCTAAGTCAACTATACTGTACAAAGTATATTGTATGTTCTGTACCACAGTAAAACCAGAAAATAGACTCCAGATGTTTCCTTGATTTCTGCCAAAAACAAAACTTGAAAAAGTGCTGAAAACCAAACAAAGTTTGAAGCTCTGTTGTAGGAAAAAAAAAGGCATAAGGAATCCATCCACAGCTTTCTTAGGAGTAAATTTGTTCTGTCTTCACCTTCTAGATAAGAAGGGTCAATCCTGAATAAGTGTAAACACAGAAACTATGAAGAACAAAAATTCTCATTTCCTTCCTGTATATTACTTCTTTAAAATTACATCTCAGACTTTCCACAGATTTGAGACAGGAAATTTTCAACAACTTTCACTCATTTGAAGTATATGATGCCTCTGGGACTTAAAAGAGGCTCAGCTTTTGGCTACACTAAAAGTAATAATAAGATTGGGACTTAGCACAAATTTTCCTAATTTGTACTTTTCTCATGTTAGTCAGCATCAAAACAAGCTGATACTGGCTAAGTCCTGTGTTGTTGAAATGCAAAGTAAAGGAGGTTTGCTTAAACAATCCTTCAGAGTAGGAATGACTGTCAGCTTTGCATGAGATGAAGAGTGTTCTGGGCCCGTTCTTTCTCCTTTGAGTATCAAAACCAAGAGCTGCAGCACAGCAGCTTACTAAAACCACACAACACTGTCAAAACCAATCCTCTGTGCAGGGTCTTGAGATGTGACTCACCTGGCCCCACACATCCTGTAAAGACCTCTGACCTGATCAAAACATAAGCGGGTAAGAAACATTTCTAGAGGCAACTAGGATGATCTTACTTATTATACAATGAAAAATTTGCCTTCAGGATGTGTCAGTGTTTCCCCTCAGACTCAGTGGAAGTCTAGGGAAATAGTTTAGCCTTTACCTACTGTCCTGATGGGGACAGCAGGAATGCAAGTTCCAGTGCAAAGGGCTCCAAACTACTTGTGTGAGCAGGTATTCTTGAAAAAACAAGTGAACAAAAAAGGCCTGGATTCATCATTATTTTCATACACTCTTTTCCCATATAAAGCTTGCTACAGGATATACTTTAATTAACTGCTTATTATCAACAGATATTTTTAACTTCAGAGTAATGAATCAACAACGGAGAATTTGAAACACATGGCTTTCTGCCAGGTCTCTTGTTCTTCAGCAGCCCTCAATCAGAACCCACTCAGTCCTGTACTTTATCATATGCAGTCCACTGACCAATGCAGTCATGAGAAAATACTACAAAAGCACAGCTTAGACTGGGCTCCAGTCAGAATACACTGAATTGTGAGGAGGAACACAAGTAGACATTTTACCTGCATAGCACTCTTTCCCAGCTTAACCACCTCAAACAAAGTGACAGGGTCCCCTTCTCCATTCTGCTGCGGGTGGCCATTGGCTCTCCCACGACTTGCGCCTCGAGCTCCAGCGTCAGAACGCCCCTTGTCCGCTGGAGACTTCCGGGGTTTCTTAGTGGCAGACTGGGCAAAGAAAACCAGCAGAGTGAAAGTTTATTACAGCTACATCTGAAATCACCCAGCATTTCTTTATAAATGATCCATAAACATTACATCCTTACACCCTCACACACATTTATACATACAAAGATCATGGGATGAGCCAGGCTGGAAGGCATCTCCAGAGGTCTCCAGCCTGACCTCCTGCTCAGAGCAGGGTCAGCTAGGAAAATCAACCAGGTTGCTCAGGACTTTATCCAGTTATGTACATAGAATTTTATTTATCAGTAGTTGTTGAGAGACTATTTAAAAGTCACTGCCACGCCAAGATAAGTAGTGGTCACCCCAAGACACTGATGAACTCCCAGTGCTGGAGTTCATGTCAGTCCCCATATGAGTCTTACACAAGACAGACATTGGGAATAATTGGTGATCTTAACTAATGAGCTAAGACAGTAAGTTATTAAAAATACATTTGCCACATTAACATTCATTTTCTGTATTTTCATTTTCATACAGCTTTTATAAGAAACTGTGTACATAACAGCTCTTCAACTCAAATCACCAAATTACTAAATTTGTACAGCCAGACTTAGTAGATCACCATAACAGCCTCTTGCTTCAAAATTTTATGAGTTAAAATGTTTTCCCTTTGAGTCTAAATTATTTAATGTAAATTTTCTCTACATTCTTCAAGGTTTTAATCAGGTGGTATAGACGCTGTCTGTCAAGACTCACCTACTGAACAGTTTGCTCTGAATTTAAGTCACTTGTGAAAACAGAAACAAAAAAAAAACTCTGGGGAAAATAACATCAGATTTCTTACTTTCATATTCTATTCTTTCTCCCTACTGTGAGGCAAACAAAAGCAAAATCTGCTGTTTCCCACAGAACAATGAAGCTATTGTGATGAATTATATTGAAGAAAACAACACACAAACAACTCAAAAATTAAATTTTGGACAATATCCTTATGACACCGTTTTACTCAAGTATATTGTCAGCTGAGTTTCTATTAATGCTTTTAGTAAAGAACACAAAGTCAACATTTTCAGTTGCATATTAAGAATGTCTCAATGTCTCAAGACACATTGAGAATTCTACTGCAGAGGAAAGGAATCTAATTTTCTGGCAGAGAGCTGGCAGAAGACAGCCCTGCAAGTCCAGCTTCCCTCATGCTTAAAGAGGGATCCCTGCCTTAAAAGGGGCGGGGCCAGAGGGCTGAAGCAAAGGGCAAGGTAGAGCACAACCGCCTCTTGCAAATATTCAATTAAGGGCTCGCATAGAAATGCAAGCCAGAAAGCTTAAAATAATGGTACAATCTCTGTGAAGTTTTCTGGATAACATTTGCACTTAGGATCAAAAGAGTATCTCCCTCAATGAATTTTTAAATATGTGCAAAGCTCCCTGTAACGGCAAGAATATTATCAACATACAACATGTTTAAATACTACTGAGCTTGAAAGACATGGGATCACTATTTATTAAAATGGGAAAGAATTAGAAGTAAATTGACTCCTTTGAGATATATAACCCATACACTTATTCCATCTGGGAGACAGTAAGCATTTCACCTAGTTACAAGAACTGCTAAATGAAAGCTTGAATGCAAACTCCCTCTACAGAAACTAATGCAAGCCCCCTCTACACTCCGTTTTTCTCAACGTGTAATTGAAAGAGAGGCATTAAACACTGCAAGGATGAAGGGAAAGGCAGTAAGAGAAGGGTGTGACATTCACATATCCAAAGCTACCTTGTTAATGAAAGCAATGTGAAAAGGCACCTGTGTGAGTACCTGAGCATGAGTACTACAGACACAGGTTCAAAATGTGGCATCACTAGGTATATAAATGCCCAGTTTAAATTCTCTTTGTCAGGTATCCTGGGAAAAGGGAGGTGCTTTGATCACGGCTCCTTGTCTGAACTGGAAGGGTGAGATCATCACCGAGCCCTCAGAAGAGGTACAGAAATAATTGACAGGTGTACTTCTGACAAATAAAGCCAGATTCTTCAAGTAAATACCTTAATATCCTGCCCTTGAATTAACACCAGATATATTACTGAATCTACTTGAATAAAATTTCTCTCTGGTGTAGGTTTTCTTTTGACAATGAGAACATCTCTCAGAGTGGAGAAAAATCTTGCATCTAACAAAAGCCATTGTGTATCCAAGCTGGGGTAGCAAAATAGAGATGCAGGATCTGTATTGAGACCTGCCTCTAGAGACAAAACAAGTAGACAATATGCTCCACTCAAGACTGAAGAAAATCCAAAACGTGAACTTTCTGAGCTAGGAAAGGATTAACATTGTCTTCAGGTGGAAAGGCACTAGTAAAAGGGCATCCACCCTTCAGCACTTCCACCCAGCAGGCATCTGGCAGGAAGCCCAAGTTCAGTCTCACTCCAGAGTGTGAATATGAAATAAAGTCATATATAGGCCCTCCACCAACTGTTTGGTGCTTTAAAGTTTTGCAAGCACAAAGCACATGGCATTCCTTGGTCATTAACACACAATATTACAATGCAGTAGTCAAACATTATTTGCACATAGTGTGTCTGAATTTACATCAAGAAACTCTGCAGGCCATGTTGACAGGTTTGAGCTCCATACAGTTTCCTCCCTTTGAACACAAAGTTCAGTAGGAAATGCTACTTCAAAGAGACCAATCAGCCACTGGAATCATCTCTCCAGGGAATCTGGGGGCTCATCAACATTGGACAATTCAGATTCAGCTGGACAGGCTGCTAGGGCATCTTTTCTAGACTGTGTTTTTGTCAGACAAGGTTGAACCAAATGATCTGTGAGGTCCCTTCCAACCTGGTATTCTATGATTCTATCCCAGGATGGAGACATCCTCCACCACCACGGAGCAAGTGAACGAAAAGGCAGGACTAGCACATCCGCAGAAACCCAGAGAAGACTCATTCATGATACAGATCATCTGTGGCGTATCTCCAAAGGCAGGGTGCTCTTGGAAGCGGAAGTTGCAAAAGCTACAAATCTAAGAATTATGTTTGTTTTTGAGGATGACAGGCACAGGTAACGGTGCATCCCAGAAAAGAGACACATACACTCACAGGAAAGGGTGATCCTTCTGAAAAAAAAACCCAAAAAAAACCAGAACCCATTCTCTAACGCCATGAAGAGATTCCACACAGAAACAGACCTGCTTAAGGCAGCCCCAGTAAACCTGTCAGACTATCACTGACAGCTCTAAAATGAAATGTTTAATAAGATCAGAGTGAAAATGTAGCAGGTCTCCTCCCCCGGATCCACCTAATGCTCAACAAGACACAGGAAAAACAGAATCTCTGAGTCCTAACAGGAATAAAAATCATGATTATTGCACACCATTTTATAGCTTTCAGCCAGAAAGTTCCCCCCTGAAGTGGGAGAATTAGGACTGACAAAGGAAAGGATAAAGCGGCGTGACAAGGTAAGAATGCTTGAGGCTTTTTAATCACACCCCAAAAAAAAAAAGTTGCATGGAGCTGAGAGGCTGCAGCAACTGCATTTGAGATTTCTCTCCAAAACCCAGGACAGCTTTGCTGGTGTGATGTCAAAATGAAACAGAAATTACTGATGATTTTTGAAATCTGTGACAACAAAAGCCTAGGGTTTATATACACCAGCATTAGGAAATTCAGAAGTTCCAGAATATGCCACAGAAGCAACAACCAAAAATGGCCATATTGATTGTCACATACCTTATCTGTTGCTTCAAGGCTTCAACAAATGCAAACAGGAAACAAAATACTCACCTTGACTGCAATTAAACTAGAATGATGACAGTTCAGGATTTTCTAACAAATTAGCTACGCAGTACTTTTCCTTTCAAGTCTTTAAAATTACCAAGAAGAAAATAAACTCACCCACATTCATAAAATCAAGTAATACAGTGAAAATTAATTCACACACTACCAAAAAAAAAGTGAAGGTGGCTTGATGTTTTACATTAACATTCCCCAAGTTGATGTGATGCACTTCATGAAGAAATAAAGTCCTAGAGTCAGTAACTCCACCTAACACACCACCTGGAAACAATGACCTGTATGTGCATTCACACTGGGAGTCATTTAGAGGAATAAATATCCCATTTCCCAGGGAAAGTGGTAGAAGCTTTGTAACCTCCATTTGAGTAAGACTGAAGAACTTGCCTCTCCAAGGCATCAGCCCCTCAAGAGGCTCTGTGTTATAAGCCTGTGTTAAGCAGAAGAAGAGTAATGCCTGAGGTCTTCATGGATTAATTCTGATTAAAAAAAGACTATGACACATCTCATACCATTATCATGGTTATCCAGGGAGAAGTTCTTGGATTCCAACAGTCCTGTGGACTGTTTTGGTCATATAAACAAACAAGGTGCTACCTGTGAAAAGTTTCATCCTATATTCAAATAAAGACAGGTGCATGTCCCCTAACACCCAGTGCATCCAGAGCTGCTTCAGCTGCAGCCCTTGCAGTTTAGGATGAAAAAAGTAGGAGTGTTGGGGAGTGGTGGTGCTATTTTTCACCCTTATTTAGAAATCTATCAAGAGTTCTAAAAGTCATCTTAAAGAATCAAGAGAGTACACTATAAATGCTTGAATAATTTCAATTCTTCTAGCTGAGGCATTTAGTACCAAAAAAAGATTTTTTTCCACAGAAAAATGAATAGATTGCCAAAAATACAAGAACCATCCCATCAAAAGCTTAAAAAGAAAACTTCTAATGCTACAGGTAACAGGACAGAAAAGTCTTCACAAAGATGCTACAGATGCACTGCATTTCTACTGACCTAGAGACTTCCTTCATTTGTAAGGGACAGACCTAAACCATCAGGCAGCAGGCAAGCTGAAACAGGACACTGATGTAAATCACACCAACCACAAACCTCCACTGCTATGAAAAGAAATTCTTCTAAGAGGATTCCTCCCTGTTATTAATCAGGACACGTATGACTTGGAACTAGAAGCAAAACTCAATCCCCTGCTGTATCTAACATCTATACTGCAAGATAAAATAAGACCAGGAATCTGCTGCAAAGTTAAAATTTCCAATATGAATGCAAAGATAAGGCACTGTGGTTTGTCTCCTCCATACCAAAATCTACAAAAGGACCTGAAAGCAAAATTGTACAGGCTTTTCTGGGGACAAAAGCATCAGAAGTGCCTTGTTTCATCTTGTTTTAGGTGACTCTGAGTATGAATGAGAGAGAAACCAGCAGAGATCTCCAAATTGCCACCTCTGGAACAGACAAACTGATGTTTCTCCCTGTACTCTGAATTAGAGATTAGAACTGTCTACTCCTACCTCGAATCTGAAACACAGCCAGGGATCTCTCTCACTGCCTCAACCTCCAGCAGCTGAGGTTTAAGCCAGGCTGTTCTGAGCTCCTAGGAAAGTGAGGATGAGCAGTTTAAAATAAAGCATGCCAACAATGCTGAACAAAGTGTTGATCCAAAAGAGGAGACAAAAAAGGATGGGTAAATAACTGATCTGAGCCTGAGCTCACTGATGTGAATGCTACACTGCATCATAAGCCCTTGTGCTTTCAAATCCCCTAGAACAGGAGAGCACATCCATACTCATGTATTTCAATAATGTAGCAGGCAGAGAGGGCAATTTGGCCAGTATTACTCAGGAGCTTCAAGGAGAGGACTGTTAGAATTCACTCCTTAAATAGATCCCCAGAATTCATTTAAATACATACCGAGATGGTATCACAAACATGTGCACCACAATATCTCACTGGCTGGACAGGTTCAGCTCTTGGCCAGTCACTCCATGAGCATCTGCTCTAGGAGACTCAGTGCTTAGGAGGGTACGTGGCCAATAGTCAGCCCCAGCCACTAGAGCAGCCCCTGCTAAATGAACAGCAAGGGCAGGGAATTCTGAACAGTCAGGTTTGATTCTGAGAGATATTCTGCAAGACCAATGCACTTAATCTATTTGCAAATTGACTCTCTAGACTACTCAGTCAAGTACTCATTAGAACAGTGTATAGAAGTGAAGGGGCTACTTAAACAGCAGTGCTTTAGAATGGAATGACTTGGATTGAACGGAAATCCTAAAAATCAACTAGCTCGAAGTGTTTTAGAAAGTAAAAGCACCCCCAAAGCATTACAGTTCTTTATGAACTGAAGAGGTATTTGCTACAAAAGCAGTGTTTCAAATGAACACCATCTTCCTACAAAGGTCTCTAATCTGCAGAGAATGTCTTTCTTTGGAAAACAATCTGGAAAATCCTCTTGTAGTAGTGTATCTTTCTGATAAAATGTCACGTCCATTCTGTGACACTCAGCAGAAACCTGTTTAAAATATGTTTTTATGTTTAAAATACATACATATATTTGATGGAATATATTCCAGACAGCTCTGTAATAGGATCATGCAGCACAAAGTAAAGTCCCTTTCCAAAAGAGGTCAGTATGTTTATGGCAGATGTGCCACTGTAGCTGTGGTGGCCTAAGACTTCAACAAATCGGCATTTACAGGAAGAGATTAAATTTTATTAGAGAATATTTTAGTTAGAAAAAATTCCCAGACACAGAAATGAGAAGAGCCTTTGGGCTACCCTCTTCAGGTCTATAACAGAAATGAAAATCATCTAAGCTAAATCTCAGTTATGAAAAACATTTCTGAACTTAACTAAACCTTTCAATCTGTTTCACATCTGGCAGTAAAGGTAGGTAGTACCTGTGAAGGAAACACAAACCACAGTAGTGAAGAGTCAGGGGTAGGGGGGGGGAATGTCACAGCTGCACCTCCTGTAAGAACCAGGCAGTTCTCCTGAGGGAAGTGACTGGGTTAGCAACACGGTTTGCTAAAGTAATACAATTACCAAGTCCCTGGCTCTTAACATCAAATAATGCTGTAAATTCAATTGCCTAGATTAGCCTTTCCAATGTTTTTGCATTTCTCCTCTAGACATTAGACACTGAGTGACTTTTTGCTTTAGGAGCTTTTTTTTTTTGTAGAAGAATCAAAGGAGAAATTTATCATGAAGTAAAATGGATAGGCACCTAAGAGAAGCTGTGCAGTCTCCAGCCTTGGCAGTTTTCAAAATCAAACTGGAAAAGCCATGAGCAATGTGGTCTGATCCCAAAGCTGCCCCACTCTGACAGGGAGGTTGCACTGAGATCTGCTAAGTCCCATTCCATAAATGACCATGTTGTTTTTCTTCTCTGAAACTCTTCCAGTCCTAATATATGCTTTTCCTGAGATTTTGGGATGGAGGTCAAAAGGGAAAGAGAAAGTAGAAGTGAGAAAATTCTTCCAAATTTTGACAAGCTACAGTTTCATAAAGGATACTGTATTTGTTTCATTCTCTATTTTCTTCCTCTAAGTTTTAAGACTGGATTTGGGGTTTTTTGACTCCTCTTGAGCATTAAGATGAAGCCTCCACAGAATCTCTCTTGACAACCCTAAGGTCTTGCAGCAGCAAGCAGCTCACAGCCCATCACTTTGTGAATGAAGCAATGGCTGCTTCCCCTGCACGTTCATCACGTGACAATCATACATACCTAATGAACCTGGAGTTGTTCTAAGCAAAATGAGCAATTCCTCCCTTAGAAACCTGATAGCAGGACCAGCAGAGTGCTTCAGTAAATGTTCCCATAGGAGCTACTAATAAACTGAAGCAGAGGAATGAGAAATGCTTTTTGTAACATTCACCTTTCTCTTCCAGTGAGTGTGGGCTGGGTACAAAATACCACCCCTAGTGTTACTATAACTTGAATTCCTATATTGTGACAAAATTCTGGGTTAGCAATCAGGTTGCACCAGCCTGCTTTTTTTAATTAGAGCTACAAAACCCCATAGATTTGCTAATGAAGTATTCATAAGATAATTTTTCATTTTATCCTTTGCTTACAAGCTATGTAAACAGATAAGCTGTTCTCTTTAAACACTTAAGGCTTGCTCTGAAGAGGCTTCATGTTCATGAGCAAATCCATTTATCTGATGAAGAATACATGCATCATAGGAAAGTGTTCAAAAGCTTTCAAAAAGGAAGACAACATCCCTAGAAAAGACTGGATTTAAAATGTTGGCACCCTGAGTAAGTCCAGAGACTGTGATGCAAATTGAAAACCAACCGTAAAGAGGAATTTGCTCCAGCTTGGCCAGCATGCCTGAGGAACACATGGATCTGTCCATTCTTACAGCCTCACCAAGCCCATGGCTTGAGACAAGCCTTAGGATCAAAGCCCTCAGGGTTAAAAAAAACAACAAAACATCTCCATCTACTAGTGCTATATAGATGGCACATTCATATTGTGACTTTATTCATAGAGCAACACTAAGAGGTGAATCAAACAAACACAGAGAAGTTCCCACCAAGTCTTACTCCACACTGTGTACTTCAAGTGATACAGCCAAAAGAGCCAAACTGATCATCTTCAAGAACCGAGACGAACGACAACATGACACACAGAACTTTCCCTTTATTTTTCAATAAATTGAATATTTTATAAAATAAATGAAAATAAGAGAGAAAGCCTCCCTAATACCCTGTGTAATAGGGAACTGTTTCTGTATGTTCCTACTGATAGGCCAGCAGGGACAAAGACAACCTTATCACCTACTTCATTATGCCAGAGGATTCGTTGAAGAGCTTCCATTCTGTAAGTAGAATGCAGTGCATGTCAATCACACGACTTCTAAAATAGATTTTCTCAGGAATCTAGTAAATATCATGCTGCAATTCTTCTATTCACATTAAAAGATTATCAGTAATAAAAAGATGGCTCAAATGTCATTTGTCACTTGAAGTCCATTACAACTTTCAAGAAGAAAGTGGCTGTACTTACTTAAGTTATTCTCATATCTGTAAGAATGTTGTAACAACAGTAATAACAAAACTGTATTGTTCATGAAAGCAGCTAGCAAAAGAAAAATTAATAGCTATTATGAGATCATTTTTATACCCTTTTTTAAACACTCCAAACATTGTTTGCACATCAATTTGATAAATATTTCATACTACAAGTCTTCATAAAGTCTGACATAGGACTCATTAAAAGCCTATTTATGTGACCACAAGATGATCAGATGAAAAAGAGTCTGCAGTCAATTATAAATAGATGCATAACAAAACAAAAATAAATTACATAGATGCATAACAAAAGCAAAACAAATTACACATACTGGAGGCCTGCCGGGACGGCCCCTTTTTCTTTTTCCTTTGACTTCTGCTTCTTCAAGCTCACTGCCAGCATCTGAATGTGCAGTAGTTTCGTTTGTAGAATCCCTAGGGGGGAAAAACATTAGATAAATTCAAATTATTTGAAATCAACAAGTAGTCTGTAACTGACCAATTAAATGCTTAGTCCTGAGACAGAAAACAAATAAATTAAAAAAAAAAGTTGGCATTGAAAGGCTTTCCCCATTTGTTCTGCAAACCAAGGACAGAGCATTGTTAGCCCTGGCAAAAGGCCTTCCTTCTTCATTGGCTGCAATGTCATTTTATTGAATGGAATTTCTTAAATTAATTTTCATTTGAAAACACGTTACACTTCAAAACTGGCTATGTTACCCAGCATATGTTCAATTCATCAATCCCACAATGTATTCACTACCAAGAACTTCCTTTTATTCTTTGTAGCTGCTTCTGAGCTGCTCTCAAGGCCCCAAGAGCAATGTGGAGTCCAATCCAGCTGTCTGATCATTAGCACAGTTATACAAGGCTCCACACAGCTTACACCACACTCTCACTCACACCCCAAGACAAGGGGCTTGGGCAGCTGTTAATAAAGAGGATTCATGCTGACTGTGAGGCCCAAACCCAAAAACTCCCTTTGATCTGAAGACATTTATAATTTTTGCAGTTAGAAAAATATTTTCGCTTGTACAATGGAAAAGCTTTGACATTGCTCAACTCCTGTTAGCAGAGAAGCCTGAACAATAATTTCTCATTTGTTGCCATTTCAGAGTTAAGATCATGATAAGAAAAAATGAAATTCCTCCGATTTTCACACCCCTCCCAGCCAGACGCAGAGGTACTTCTCTGCCTTCCAAATAGATGTGGCTGCTTGAAGAAACTCACATTTTAATTGATCTTTTGAGGCATTAGATCTTACCCGAGAGCAGTTCACATGCAAAACCTCACTTGTTACTGGTGGGCTTTAATTTTACTGTGCAAGACCACCAGTGCACCAGATATCTAAAAAATTTCATTTACAACTAATAATGTCCTAGATTACTAAAGGATGGGTCAAGCGTAGTTATAACCATAGACTTCTTTAAATCCAAAATAATTTCATTGAAGTGAAAAGAGTTCAGTTGCTGTACAACCTGTGCAAAGGGAAGGTGAAAACCAGACTTATTCCATATTTAACAGCTTCAAACATCAATGGCAGCATTAGTGATCTGCTCTAGCGAAACTGAGAAACTCCAGCAAGCCAAGATCTACACAGATCTTCCAGGTTGTCTGGGGGTTATTTTGTATTTTGCTCTAGAGATCGGGAATACTTCACAGATTTGTTGTATCACCAAGAAAGCTATTTAATAATGCATAAAGATATCACTGTATCAGAACTGGGAATGTTCTCATACTCCTCTTTACTGAAATTACTGTATTGCCTAGGTCTGCTGTCACTTGAATAATTCTGCAGAACTATAATGAATTTCTAATATTAAGACATTGATTTCCTACCTTTTCCTACTTGCAAGCAGAAAAACATCAAGGGGTCCACAGAATCTTTTACAAAAGCCAGAATGCAGAACATATATGAATCTCTTTTACTGAAAGTAACTTCAGTGGATTATCTCTAAATACTCTACATATCCCAGAAAATCAAGCACCCTAGATGAAAAGCCACTATTCAAGTGCATTTGAGTTCACAAATTACATGCTTGTAATGCAGTACCTCTACAAAATATTGAAAATGCAGCTTTGTTGTGATACAATTGAAAAGAAGCTTTTTCACTTCATAAAATATGAAATTTGAAAAACTTAGTATCAAGCTGTGTGTTTGGAAAAACACACAAAAATATAAAAATTCTAAAATCAAATAAAAGATACCCCAAATGGAGTTCAAAATTGTTTGGTAGATTAGGGCCACAGCAGAGAAAAGCAATGCAGTAACTACAGCTGAAGACATGCTTATGCAGATGTATGTATCTAGCCTTTACTCAAATACCTCCTCACACTGCAAGTCAATTTGACAAAAATGTACATTGGTTCACAATGGCAATTTCAATGTGTCTAAACAATACCCCCACTCCTGGGGAAATCTGTGCTTTGCTAGCTTTTAAACTTGCACCCCTAGGATCATCAGGATAAAAATTTCTATTAAAAACAGATTCAGCAATCCTCCTAGGCAAACAGCTCAAACCCTTCCCTTGAAACACCAGAGCTATATAAATAAATTACACTCTACTACTACTTCACATGCATCTACTCCACAGAGAATTTGACTTTCCTATACAGCCTCAGTCTGGTCTAGCAAAACCTCCAAATAAATTTGTCTATTTAGTTCAGGAAATTTCAAATCTTTCCAAATGCTGCATATGAAAGAAATAGTTATCAACCACCTTCTATTCTTTGCCTTAAATAGATTTGCCTTAAACAGAATTTTATATTCTTCTGGTAAAACTTCTCAAATTTGCTGGAAGTCTCTTTGGCCATTTCCCTTTTTAGGAAAAGCTCAATAAATTAGTACTAAGGGTGAGATTCATCTAATCTAAATTAGAAACATTTGCAATGCAGAAAATCTTAATGTACAAGATACCTCATGCTAAGGTCAGTGTTGAAAACTGGTCAGACAGTTTAAGTCTTATAAATTTTGTTTTCTCTCCATTGATAATAAGGTGATCAAGACAAGCAGCTTGAATATAAATGTTTCAAATTAAACAAAATAAAACTCACCCTAACAACATGTGAGGAAGAAAGGAAACATCTTTCCAGCAAAGAATATATGTAAGCAGCAAGGGGAAAACATCAAAAACTAGATTCCCTTCAGTCCTCACATTATTTGGAGTAAGAAGCCAGGATCAAGGACAACCTGCAGTCTTTAGATGGTTTCATATGAAAATAAATGTAATTTCAAGCAGCAAGGAATTCTGTTTGAGTCAACAAACTCCTACACGAAAATGCCCTTCCAGTGTGTCTGGGAGCCCTTTCAGTTTGGGAGGTAGTGCCTCTTGCTTCTGTCCCAGCCTTGCAGTTGCCCTGGGTACACACACATGCCCCTTTTTTCTCTTATTTCTGAACTCAGAGCAGCAGTACAGCATCTCCTAACTGCCTGCAGTTCTGACAGTTTGTAACACTCAGTGAGAGAAGCAGCTGGCCGGCATCCATCTCCCTCATTCCCTACACATCTTGCAGAACTGTTAAGAAGTAATTTATCTGGTGGCAGTTATCCACGTCTTAATAGACCAGAATTATCCTATCCTCATTCCACTGTGTGTGACTAGGCACCTGAGGGGGAAACTTTGGCTTAGTCATAATTTATCCTTCCTGAAGCTGTTGGAGGGAAGATAATCTGGGCCTAAGGAAACCTGCCTCATCTAAGGAGCGGTGGAAGTGCCTAAAGCTAAACCTTTCCTCTCGTAAGACTCATTTGAAATGACAGGGACATGACAGAATTTGACAGAGGTGGGGGAGAACCTACAAGATAGGGGTGAGCAGAGCAAAGGAGACAAGTGATAAGCTCTTTTCAGGGCTCAGGTATACTCTGCTTTGCTTTCTGGTTTCTGTGGTGACTAAAGCATCCTAGAAAAGTGGCAGCAACTCCAGGATCCCTTCTAAAAACTCCAGATATTATTCTAGAGTTATAATTACTAATCTTTGACACTATCCATGTTAATGAAGAATTAACAGATCACTGGGCAGCCCCTGACCACGTCATGCTTCTGAAAAACATGTTTCCATTAACACAGTAAATTTCACATCTCTGTAAAACAAACTAAAATTAATTTACCTTTCTTCTACTATTCCAAAAAGCCCTAGTTACAGAGTTTATAGATCATTTAAAAACATACCACAGCAAAAACCTGTGTTTATGTATCAGGTTTTGTAAAAAACAAGAAACCAAAACACTTCTGTAAGTTTTTATCTCTGTTTGCTCTGTTTGCTGAGGGGCTCACATTCTGGCAGAGATAAATTCAGTAATTGCTACCACCAGATTCAGCCTTGTGAAAAAAAGCATTCATGAAGAAAAATGGCTAAATGCACAGGCTCATGAATCATGGACGAATCAGTTCTCATGGTTGATCTTCAAAAAATCTAAGGAGTAAATATGAGCCATGTCATTGAGAGAAGATTCACACCTGTCACACAGATCAAATACACCAGACGTTTTCTCCAAGCATCTGAAACACCAGTAAGTGAAATCCTGCCTTTACTGTGTTCTGAAGCCACTTCTATGAATGCAGAAAGGTTAAAGATTCTCCTTTCATGTTCCCTTGACAAAGAATAATTTGGGAGAGAATATATAATATGGTCCTAAGCAATGTATATTAACATATCAAGTTGGCTTTAGGATTGTTTCTTTAAAGAGGGTAGCCAAAAAGATTACAAAAAAGAAGTAGAAATTAAGGACAGGAATGGGAGATTATATAATCCTTCAAATAATTCATTTAAGAGCTAGAAAAACCTTGGTTTTCTGTGTGGAACTGGACTGTGTCTTCCCATATCTGTACATGTGTGAAGCTAATACCCCCTAGCCCAAAAATTGTTTCAGGTTTCCTCAGCCTTAGCCAGCACTCTTCCTGATGAAAGCCTGGCTGGGACCTTCCGAATTAGAATTTATCGCTTCCTTTGATACTTCATCCACACTAGCCAATGTTCTTTCTGAGCCCTCAGGAGAGACCCAAAACTTTTATGTGCAAATTATACTGAATTTTGTGTAAATTGAAAGACCTCCTCTTATTCAAAAGCAATCAAAACTACATGTATTGTTGAGGATGACATCTCACCAACACTTCACAGAGTAGCATTAAATTATTCCCAGAAAAATTAAATTATTACCAGAAAAAACAACATTCATGTTTTATTTCACTCTTTGATTTGCTTAATATCAGTGGTTCTGAGTAAAGAATATGCCAGTATATTTAAAATCCCTCACATTTTTCAGCTGGTATGTAGAGTTACCAAATCCATTAATATGCACTTTTTAACTTTAAACTCTGTGATATTCCATTCACTTTTTAAGTCCAGCTGGGTTCTTGAAGTGCAAATGCAAATATCCCCTTCCCACCACTACCATCACAGATTCTCCTAGCTTTTTGTTCTTGGCATATTTGACAAACATTCCCTCACTGCTTAAATGTGGCAAATCCAGGAAATACGAACCAAGAAAATGTTCTTCCACAACTAATCCTCAAGCTAACAAGAATCCCCTCAGGCTGACACCCCGCCTCAGCGCTGCCCATCAAGGTCATCCCCAGCTTTAGCCTCTACTCATCCACAACTAAATTTTTTTAAAGAGGTTTTAAAAATACAAGAGAAAACTGTAATGAAAAGCATGCTATTATTAATGTCAGACAAATTTGGTTTCAACTGTCCAACCATTCAGTTTCTTATATAACAGGCCTTGAAATCTTAGCTTCGAATGCCACTCAACCCTGATAACTAAGGTAAAAAAAAAATAAATTAGAAAACGTTCCAAGCTAAAATAAACCAACATTAGATAGTTACCAAGTGTAGCTGGCACAGGTGCCTGGCACTGGCAGCACAGTGGTCACACATGGAGCTCTGTGAGGGGATGGAGGAGGGCTCTCTGAGGGGATGGTGGGGGGCTCTGAGGGGATGAAGGGCTCTGTGAGGGGATGGTGGGGAGCTCTGTGAGGGGAGCCCATGCTGGAGTGGGCTGGGCACCCACACTGGGGGCATGAGGGGATGGGGTGGGATGAAAGGATGAAGGTGAACTGAGGTAAGGGCAGGGGTAGAATGAACACCTGGTAGGTTTTGCCTTTGTTTTTCACCATCATCCAAATCCTTTTTGATTATTATTATTTGATTTATTGATTAGCAATAAATTAATTTTCTCCAAGCCAAGCCCCTTTGGTCTGTTGTTATTTCCCTGTCATTACCTCACCCCATGAGCTTCTTCACTTTATGGTCTCTCCCTGCCCTGTGAAGAGAGGAGGAACTTCCAGTCTCTAAAATTCCTTCTTCACTCTACCTGATTTACTCTCCAGCTCCTCCTATTATAGATTTCTCTTCTTCCCAGTAGCTCACTTTATCCAAGCACAGCCATGTTCCCATGTGCATTAGCCACTCCTATTTGCCAGGACCAAAACACATTCATGCCACTTGCTATATTCAGCTGTAGCAGGCAAAGGTTTTTTGCACAATAAATTCAGCTCATTTTAAGAAAGCACACAACTGGAATATACAATGTGGTGTGAGAAAGTACACAACTGGAATACACAATATGGTCCATTAGGAGAAAAACCAATACATGCTGCTGAAATCTTACGACATTCAGAAACATAAAAGTAGCAAAGACCTTGTTTTGCTTTGCACAGCGAAGTTAAATCTCCATACACAGAAAGAAGTATTTTTTAGATTAAGTGTTTTGCAGGTTTTTTTACAGTTTTTCAGCCCATGAAAATACAGGAGTCACAGTAACATGCACTTCTTTCAAGCTTGTGCTTTCTCCTCACAATCACCTCTCTGTTTACTTTAACCTTTTTAAAAGCCAAGATTACAAATGTAGAAAGAAGTGTATACTCACTGTAGTACTGGCAAATCTGAAGTAATCATTTTTGCAGGACTCTTGGAAGTAAGAGCTACATAGAACTCCTTCTCAAAGTTATTATAAGACAACTACTTGGAAACCTCTTTCATGAAAAGAATGTCAAAGTCCAGTCTGTAAGAGAGAGAAAAAAATTTTTAGATGTGACTCTGAAATATAATACACTGAATAAAACAAAAAAGGTCAATTTTAAAGTAGCATCACTATTAAACCACAAGAATTTTAGAATGGATGACCCTGAAACAGCTTAATCATATTCTTTCATTCAGTTTTTACATTTCTGTTTAGGTAACTTTGTGCAATTAAATAAAAATTTAAAAACAAATGTTCTGCATTACATCCTGTACTTGTTTACTAATATATGTGTGTTTAAATGGCACTACACCTACTTAATCAGACCCTATGGCTTACAGCTTTATGTGACTGAATTTCACAGAATAGTCAGAAGCTGTGCAAGAGTCTAACTGCAGCAGAAGGTATTTTAACTTAATGAAACTGAAGTTTAAATAATAAAGTAGACTGCATCTGTGGTGTCACTACACCCACTAGTAACATTTCTCGACCCAAAAGGAGTTGACTAATGGAAGCAGATGTGACTTTACCATTAAATAATGGCACAATGTGACAGATTCAATAATCTTCACTGTAATAAAACACAGAACTGCCATCCTAGTCTTCCAGAAAATGCAAGTTCTGGAGAAACTAAGTATATTTGTTCCCGTCTCCCATTTTACAGGTCCTGGGGTAATATAAAGAGCTGCATGGAGCACTGCAGCTCAGTAATGACAAGGAACACCAAGAACTCAACTGTGTGTTTTTAAAACATGGAATATGCTCAAACTCTTTTATTTAAATACGTAATTTCCTCTTGATAGGCTTTTTTTTCTCGTGCTCTAGTAGCTTTGCACAAGGCAGGAGGACAATCCAGCCAGGAAGAGGAAATGTAACCTGCACCAAATGGAGGATCGAAATTCAAGTGCACCTTTCTAAACAAAAGAGTACAGCATACAAAGCATAATTTCCATCCTACTACACACACATCAATGTTTATTTACCAAACTGTACAGAATGAACAGACTTTTCTGCCTCTTCATATTACAGTTCCAACTAGACTCACAGTTGCATACAACTAGTTCTTCCAGTACTTACTACTTTGTGCTACCAACAGTTTTACTTACAGCACCTCATTGTGAAATTTACCTTTTTTGTATACCATACAATTAGCAAGCCATTTTGTTGCAAAGCACATGTTAACAAACAAAAACGTTGTTTGGAGCTAAAACCACCACTCTAGCATTAATGGTTTAAGGGGGCCAATAGACCAGGCTGGTGGAAAAGCTCTCCAGTTTCACTATTAGACAGAAGTTAGTCTGAGTTCACTGTGAACAAAAATGACAAATATGCTATTTGTGCTATTTGCATAAGCATTTCTTCATTAGACACTGCTCATTACAGTGTTTCAAAGGATGTGATTGCTCCTAACAGGGGCAATGACTTGTCCAGTCAACAACATAAAACAACTACTTCAGACACTGGTAAAAATTTATCATAAACACAGCATTAGACTGAATTAAGTTATGAGTTGACTACCTGTAGGAAAAATAAAAGGCAATGTTCAGACCTCTGAAATGGAGTTCACTACAAGTGGAACAAGACTGATGAAAAAAGTATTTTTTTGTACTCATACAAACATGCACACAGACACACACACTTCTGCTTAGATCCATCTTAGATCTCCAGATTATCTAATTCTAGCAGGATTCATGGTAATCTTACTTTTCAGAAAAGCTTTCTAAAGAAGTTCAAGGAAATTTATGTGTGCTCCATGTAAGGTAACTTCCACAGACATTTATGGCATCCTGCTCAACTGCTATGTGGGATTTCCTTTTTTAGTTTTCTTTTTTAACCTAATCACCCTTCTGAACTGTTGGCTGTGCATGCTCACATGTAGTAATCAGCAGCATTCAGCTCTCTAGAGAAGTGCTCTTACACACAAAGAAAAGGATACTTGCTCAGAGACAGCTTATTTGAAAAGCAAAGTCCTGACTTAGAAGCGTGGAGTGAAGGGTACAGAGAGCCAGAAGCAGAAGAGAAGACCAAGGCAGCTGGACCCACAGTGCTAAGGGCAGAAAACCTGAAACCAGGGATCTGCAAGGGCCTGTGCTGTTTTCTCCTTGTCCTTATGCTAAGCAGGAAACTGCAAAACAGGGCAGGAAGAAAACACCCCTCTGTGGTAAAATTCAGACTGGACCATCAGAAGATGACAGTTACCTCTCTGCACTCTAGTATTAATACAGCCAGCGTGGGACAAAATACAAAAACTGTTTGACAACTGTGGAAAATTCATTGATCCTTATGGATCAAAAATATGAACCTTTGTGTTTTTCTGGTTTTAATGAAAGAAATATCTGTTTCTGAAAGATGATGGTCTCATAACCAGGAAAATCAAACTCTCCCCCTCTTTCTCTCCTTCTGCCTGAGAACAAAGGCATTGATAAAAAAGTCCGGAAAGCTTGAGACACATAACCATTTTGTTACCTGTCCTGGAGAACAGAACAGGGAGAGGAATACTTCATACTTTGGCATTTGGGGTTATTTAAACTATGATAAACACTATACAGTCCTTCAACATGCAGTCAACTGCTTCTATTTTAGTTTAGAAAAAAAAAGTCTGATGTTTTCATTCAAACCTAATTATAATGACCTTTGTACCTCTACAGCTTTTTTAACCTGTACCTCTGTATTTGAAGATGACATAAATTTATGCTGGTCCTGTTAAAATTACCTGTAGAGGAATATAAAGTAGGCAGTTGAAGACACCATTTATTTCAAACATACAATGGGAAACAAATGTTTCCCTTTTTTGCCTGCTTTCCAAGCATGCACAATAATCAGGGCAGACATAATGATCATTATATAAAGCTGCCTTTATAAAAAACGTATTTTCTAGTAGATTGTTTGGTTTATTATAGTGTTTATTCAATAGTGAGCTCATCTTGAGTTCAGTTTTAAAAAGACTCTAAGATTTTACAACACTGAATCCAATCAATATTTCCTGCAGTTTTTACTAACACACAAAGCTACCTACATTTTTTGCAGTCCTTAGGTTGTTTGCCTCTCTGGTGCTGAAGTAATCCACCCATTTTAGCCAAAAAACAAACAAATTAAAAGATTGACAACATCCTGACAGAGTCCTTCCAAGCAACTCTCTGTCAGCAACAAAACCAAATCAAGTTCAATTAACTCTATCATGGACTACGTACCTACATCTTATAAAACTGAACCCAAAACTTAAATAACAAAAGAAAATCAGCTAATAAATCTAGCAATTACGACATTATTAATTCCTTTGGCTAGAAAATACCCAAAACAAAAGATAACAGGTATTAGGCTGACTTTTAATACAAAATCCTTTCCTTGTTGACCAAGTCACCTTATCCCTTCCAAGTGCAGAACATATTCAAACAATGGCTCATACAAATGAAGCAATGTCTTCTACAATTAACTGGTAATACCTTTACCCCCTTCCTTCATTTTCCATTTCTAATGACTCCGCTCTCTCCCTCCGTACTGGAGGTACATGATGGTGTGTCATGCCCCTGCACAGCACCACAAAACAAGACATGGAAAACTCTAGTTTTTCATAGTTTAGAGATGAGATTTGTCACCTCAATATTCTTGCCCAAAACCTGCATCTGACTGTTAGGAAAAGATATCAGCACAAACAACAATCCTACACCATACACCCAGGCAGAGCTTCCATCCACCAGATGAGAGAGAAGAGAGCATCAGATGCAGGCAGATCAATTCTAGCCTTCACTGTTTCATCCAACATCTTGGGCACACCACTGAAACCTTCCTGCCCAGTTACCCATCTGCAAAGTGAAAATAATATCTAGAAATTGCAAGTGTGAATTTTAAATCCTGCAGGAATAGAAAAATAATCATCAGGAACTAATCTTGTAACAAATTTGTTTGATCTGGATTAAATATTTCTATAAGCATAAGCTTTATTTCTGCTATAGGTTTGGAATTTGCAATGTATTAATTAATTTTGACCCTACAGCAACTTGATTAAAAGCCAAATGAGATCACCACTCCCAGCTCTGATTTTGAAAGCACATAGCATCATTTAAGGCCAAACAAGGCATAATACTCATTCAGCCCATTTTTAAAATAATTTCATTGAAGTTCTGTGCACAATATGTATTTCACTCTATCACATTCTAATAAGTACTTATACCAAAATTGAAATCCCAAATGATAGAAAAATTGTCACTGAGCATTAGTGAGTTTCTCACTTCTTATGGTGCATAGCAAACTCTCTATGTGTCTGCAGCATTCCTAATCCAGTCAGACCATGACAGAAGGAAGAAATATCAGTATCAAATAGGTCAGCACTAGCATGGCAATGCTTCACTTCCTACACCCATCAAAATCATCCTGGATATATTATTAGTGGAACCCCACATCCCTCACCAGAGTGCCTCTGCTGTTCTTGTTAGCCATTCCAGTACAACCTGCAGTTCCCAGCCTGCAGAATGTTAAACCCAAAACCCTGGAAGAGCTGTTTGACACACCAGATGTTTGTGCTGCCGTTCACAGGGACCTGGGCAGGCTGGAGCACTGGACACACAGGAATCACATGAAGGTCAATAAAATGTACAGCCAAGAATTACACAGTGATGCTTGTAACAAAACTGGAGTATTTAGCAGATTTTTATTATCATTGACTGAAGTTTCTTTTCTTCCATTCTTTACAGGTGTCACCAGACATTTTACCCATACCTGTGGGATCAAGAACTATCTAGTGGCAACTCCCAGCTGTCCATTTAAATTGCCTTCAATTGCAGTTGTCTCCTCAGCTGCACCAACATGCAGAACTGACTCTCCAGGCAAAACAGCTGTTGCTGCTTCCTCTCACCAAATGCTTTTAGCCTAGACAGGTCCTGCCCAGTCAGCCAGAAAAATCATCTGAAGTGTCATATCATAGCATGAGATATTGTTCCGTGCTCTTCGACATTCCAAACTCAAGACCTTGCACTGAAAGGCTACACAAATCACTTCTTCCAGAGCTGGGAATAAAATCTGAACGTGACAAAAACATCCGAGTC